AGGACTTTGCGCTTGCGAGGCAGGCAGTGGATCCGCTGAGCTAAATCCCTGGCCCCAGCATTAATTTTAATACTGGCCGAGTTCAACAGCTGGCACGCAGGGTTCCTGAACACTCCGTACCTGGCGCCCGATGTCAGGCTGACCCAACCGCAGCACACACAGTCCTGGTCCTTCTTCCTTCCGTTTCTGTGTCTGGAAAAAGCAGGAGAATCCTTGAGGATTACAGCGTCATTGGGAAGGTTGGAAAGGACGTCTGGGAAGACCTGGTCTGGACCGCGCACCCAAAGGCCACCGCTGTGCTTGGGGGGATGCTTAGGGGCTGCAAGCTGTGGGGTCTCTGTGGAGGGATGGGTTCCGTCCACACCCACTCATGTCCACGTAGCCCGTGGGAGAGGAACACTGAGGACCGGAAATGGGGTGCATTCCCCTTGCCAGCCCGTGGGCGCTGAGAATGGGATTTCCGCTCACATTTTTTTCATATAAATAAGTTCATTGCTAAATTTCCCCCATCGACATTATAGAAATATATTTTTAAAACACTGAAAGTTCACAAACTGTAGAGAACCCAACAACTATACTTTATTAAAAAAAAAGTATAACAGTGACATTTTAGAAATTGTTTTCGAAGACAAGTATATCTAACAGCAAAGAGATATGAATGGAGCCACAAATGGCAGAAATACAACACTAGAGCAGTACTCAGTCTGCACCAGAAATCACTGTTATGAAGTAGCTTCCACTTGAGAAGTTACACACTCACTTTGTCTCTGAACGAGCCTGTCTTGTTTTTGTCTTTTTGTAAGAAGTAGGTCTTTACTGCTACCGAGACAAAATACTAGACGTGAACAAACTAGGGAATGAGGGGGGATCTCCTTCCCTGGTTCCTGAACAGCAGAACAGCTCGTACAGAAATGGCTTTGGCACTTTAACCTTTAAACTGTGTTCCATGCCTCATCCCTTGATCCCACAGCTTCATACAATTTTTAATACCATATCATCGCCATACTTATTATATACATTATATGTACGCAGTCATACTTTCCCTCAGTCTAAAACAACGTAGCTTGTCCCCGAATAGGTCTACAGTTGTCTCTGTATGAGCGAGTCACTCATATAGCTTTCTTCTTGGTTCGAGGGCCATACGGTTCATCTGTTGCCATGTAAACTACCTCCTGGGATTGACTTAAGGCTGCAGTTTAATCCGAGCTGTTCAGTCATCACAGGAATCTGAGGCTCGACTCACACACCGATGGTTCTCTCTTCCGAAGCTGTTCCTGCTCGTTGGGTGGGTGTTGTGTCTTGTCCAGGTGATCCGCAGAGATACACAGAGACACATGCAAGAAGGGGTCCCCAGAGCCAAGGGGAGGGTTACCTGTCACCCAAACAGCACCGCTGAAGCAACGGAAGACAGGACAATGGCTGCTGCTGCTGCAGAAAAATCTTGCATGTTGCTGCCTGTGTGCTCAACCACAGTGCAAGTGTGCAGGCCTCCCACACTCACGAGAGATGTGACAAACCGGACACAGTACATGTAACCATAGAAACAGCCTTGTTCTTTAATTCCAACTCTGTCAGACCTGTAGGCACCGACCCGTGTCTCAGTGATCCCTAACAGATACATTTGAATGCTTCTCCCCAAAAGGGAAGTGTCTGAACACTTCTAAGACTTTTACAAAATATACTCCTGCCAATCCTGAGCACGACACAGCAGCAGCTCTAGAGTCCCAACCCAGGAACGAAGCGGTTCCGCCATGACCTCTGTCGCTTGGGTTGCTTTCCACTGTACACGTGTGATGCGGCCACACAGCATAAAAGCTGAAATCCACTGGAATTTGCTCAGTGTTCAGTTTAACGTGAAAATAGTACATAAAGCAGCACAGGCGGTCTTCAACTGGTAGATCACACAGCTTGTAGAGGTTTCAGTCCATGATCAGCTGGCTCCGAAGCCAGGAGGGCAAACACGCATCGCAGAGGAAGACCGCTGGTGAGCCCAAGGCAGCAAAGGTGACAAGAGTTTCCGCTCGTATTGGGTCTCGTTCTCTCCTCTTTCTCTCTCATCCCCACCTCCGTATCTTTTAGAAAGTGGTACTCAAGCATGCACACTGTTTTACATTTCATTCAAATTAAAATTTTTCTGGTACAAAAATAACATGAATCACCCCACATAGAGATAAGCCTATGTCTGGAATCCAACAAACACTTCGTCAGTCTTCGATGGTATTAGTGAAGAACATGCCCAGAGATTGCATTGAATCGATTTATGAATGAGTGAAGAAAAGAAAAATAAGGAAGTGCTCCCCGCTCTGAGCCGGCTGCTGTAAATATTCTGGTTTATGACTCTATAGTCATCTTTTCCATCCCGCTACTCTAATTGTGAAAAATAAAAGCTCACGAGATAGTCCTGATATGCTCGTTCATGTTGTGTTTTTAAATTAATCGTGAACAGGCAATTTGGCGGCGAGGGCTGTGAGAAGGCTGGGTGGAGCCCCTGTCCGAGGCCTGTCTAGGCCAGGACTTAGGCAAAGCCTTCTGTGTGTCGTCGCCCCCCGCCGCCAACCTGGAGCTGCTGCTTCCTGACTTGCTGGGGGCCAGGGCCCCGGGACCTACTGCAGCGCTTCCTGCTTCTCTGCCCAGCACCCTCTGGAGACCTGGGCCGATAAGGGTCCCTCTGAGACCTGTGGTGATAGGGTGGGGCCCGGCTCTGCGCTGGCTCATGAGGCCCCGTGTCACGGCACGGGTCTGTACCCCAGACTCTCTCTTGCATCCCTACCCCTGTGCGCCGGGGAGGGTCAAGGCAACAGCTGCCTTTGATCAGCCCAACATCTGGGCTGACTGGTGATCAAAGATGGGATCGCTGTGACAGCTGAGACTTGGCCAGGACCCAGCCTGGCTAAATGCACGAGTTGGGGAGGGGGAGCCTCCTCTCTTCCCACCCTCCAAGTCCTCTTTGTGGAGCTTTGCGTGTTCCTGTGGCACCAGGGAGAAGCCCACTCCACTGCCCTCGGTGCAGACACACAGAATGTCTCGGCCCAAGTCTGAAGGCAGTGCCAGAGGCAAGGGTTTGTGTGCATTGTGCTTCATGCAAGGGTCAGGACAGGAGGGAGAGGGCGTGACCACCAGTACAGTCATCTGTGCAAGTTGTGCAGGACGAGGGCACCATGAGATGCACCCCAGAAGGGTCTCCTGGATACCAAGGGGAGAAGCGTGCACCTGCTGGCTCCACCCTTCTGGGATGCAGAGGCCATGGGTGTGCAAGCTAGAATCCCCAGGTTACACAGCGGGGTGGAGCTCGTTTGCTGCTGGCACCTCCAGGCCACAGGACAGAGGGTCTCGGGTTTCCTCCAGTTTTGTCTGTGCCAAGCTGGTTGTGTGAAAGCGGGTGCCACGGCAGCGGTGGGGAGGGGAGCACAGAGGTCTTGGCGACATGCCAAGAGCAGGGAAGAGTCGGCAGGGTCTGTGGCAAGGCTGGCTTATTTTCTTTTATTTCTTTCTTTTCTTCTTTTTTTTTTTTTTGGTACCGGGGATTGAACTCAGGTCTTTGCGCTTGCAAGGCAGGCCACCAAACCGCTGAGCTAAATCCCTGGCCCGAGGCTGGTTTATTTTCAACATGGCCAATCACTAGCTGGCTCCTTCTTCCTCCACCCTGTGACTATTCCCCTCCCACCACCATCACCACCACCATCACCACCACCATCACCACCATCACCACCATCAACACCACCACCATCACCATCATCACCACCATCAACACCACCACCATCACCACCATCACCACCATCAACACCATCACCACCATCACCATCATCACCATCACCATCACCATCACCACCACCATCACCATCACCACCATCACCATCACCACCATCAACACCACCACCATCACCATCATCACCATCACCATCATCATCACCACCACCACCATCATCACCATCACCACCACCACCATCATCACCATCACCACCATCACCATCACCATCATCATCACCATCACCACCATCATCACCACCATCACCATCACCATCACCATCATCACCACCATCACCACCACCACCATCACCATCATCACCATCACCATCATCATCACCATCATCACCATCATCATCATCTTTTTTTAATGTACTGGGAATTGAACCCAGGGCCTTCATATTCAGTTACACCCGGTCTTTTTTTTTTTTAGACAGGATCTCACTAAGTAACTAAGTTACCCCAGGCTGGGCTCAAATTTGCAATCCTCCTGTCTCAGCCTCCCAGAACACTGGGATTACACATGTGTGTCACTGCACCCAGCTTCCCCTTCCATCCTTAACATCACAAGATGGCTGCCTGCCCTGCTGTAAGCCACCCTCTTAGGGTTGGATCATGTTCCCCAAATCTTCGCAGGTTGAAATCCTAAACCCCGGTCCATTCAATGCGACCTCACTGAGAAGCAGGCGAAACCTGCTAAGACGGACGACGACACCACCCTTAGAGTAGGGTGGGCTCTAGGTCCAAGGCGACTAGGGTCCTAAAAGGGGGGATCGGACGCGGACTCCCACAGATGGGGGAACCCCGTGCCATGACGCAGGGAGAGGTCAGGCTGAGACGACTGCAAGCGGAGGGCCCCTGGAGATCACCCGGGTCGGCAGACAGGAGGAAAGGGGCGAGGAACAGATTCAGCCTCTCAGCCTGGCCCACGCCACCTGCACCCTGAGGGCGTCTCCATCTCCAGAGGGCGAGACAGTAATCAGTGCTGTATGAGGCTCCCAGTCTGGAATTTTAATAACACAGCCCTAGCTGTGAACGCCCTAATGAACTAATGAACGCCCTAACGCTGCTTACTCAACCTCGCCAGAGACGACAGCGTTTATGCCATTTTTGGATTTTAGGCTCTGGTCCCCGCCCTCCCACCATGAACCAATGGAACAACCCATCCTTTCTGCACAGAACTCACCCACCAGTGAGTTTCAGAAGGAACTTCCGGAAGTTCCCGCCTACCCCGCCCCACCTCTGGCGGCTGCAGGGCCTTGCGAGATGCTTCCTTCTGGAGGAGAGCGGCTCCCCGGGAAGCGGAGAAACATCTCTGAGCCGGCGGAGCCCAGTGGATCCAAGGCACAGATGTTCTTTTAGTGAGTGGCCTTTGTAGACACATAAATCACGGGTAGGGAGGGAGCCTGAAAATGCCCGGCCAGAGTTTGGCGTGGACGGATGCCCACCGAGGACGCGCCACGGCCTCTGACAGTAGGTGCCTGTCTGCCGGCTCCTAGGAAGTTGGGACTGTGGATCTGATCCAGCAATTTGCAGACCGGAAATGGTCACCCGGGCTGTTTTTCTTTCACACCCCCCCAAGGTTTTGGCAGATTTGCAGGGCTGGTGCTGCATCTGGATTCCCTTTCTTTTACTGCTTCTGTGCACTTGCTTCTTGCTTGGGATCTGCAGGTGTCTTGGAGGTCTGCTCTTGGGTCTCAGGCCGCTCTGCCTGCAAAGCCAGAGAGCTGATGTTGCCGAGAAGCAGTGCACAACACCAGCATCCTTCTGGGGCGACCTTCAGCCAATGATGGACCAGTACAGGAATGTGGACACCCAGCTTCTTTTCCTGAGAGACTTGGGATGGGCTCTGAGCGGTAATTTACACTGCTGAGCTGCCCTGCAGGATCAGGCTAAAGCCCAGGCTTTGCTGCCGTCTCGCCTGGTGTGGCTTCCTCCCTCTTTCCCCTGGAGCTCTTTCATTAATCACTCTCACATCCTCCTGTCATTTCCCGCTACTGCAGATCTGACATCGGACATGAGGTTTAGTCCCTTTGAGCACCCCAAGTATCTTCTCAAACATCTTGGGCTACTTTCCATGGCCCCAGTCCAAACTGTGCTTCTGTGGTCGGAGGATAGCGTGTGCCCTGAGCACGAATGAGAGGAAAACTTCCACTGGTCCCTGCGGTGGTCAGGGAAGGCAATCGCGCATTGAACCTGGGTTTCTCCGTCCTGGGCTCAGCAGTGTCCAGAGCATCCCTGAGCTCTGCCACTAGAGGTCAGTAGTATCCCTGAGAGACCAAAATTGTCTTTGGACAGCGCCCAAAGTCCTCTAGCTGAGACCCATGGTGTTCACCCAAGGCCGGAGACTCTTGGGGCTCCCATTTCTAGGGGAGTGGTTTGATTCACTCAGGGGCATCCTGGAGGGGAAGTTGCAAACTGCATTCGGCCTTGGGAGCAGCTACAGGGTGTGGGGTGGGGTTAGGGAACGGATCTCAGCCGGCTCTGGTGTTCCTATATCAGGGAGAGAGGGTTCAGCATCGTGCCCTTATGGTTGAAAGGAGAGGAGGACTAATTTTGGTAATCGAATCACCAGTGTCCTCAAAAACTTCAGGGGTGAGCTGTGTGTGTGTGTGTGTGTGTGTGTGTGTGTGTGGAGATTCACTGCCAAATAGCTTTCCCCAGAATGGGGATGTCCCAGGATGCAGGACCTTTAGCACTGAAAGGAGCTGGGCCGGTGGGTCCCCACTTAGTGGTGGTGGTTCGTGCCCCCTAATACACCAGGATCCACACACTCTCACTGTGTCCAGGGAACCTGCCCACGCCAGGTGTGTTTCTAATATTTATGTAGTGATAAATGGACGAGCTGAAGTGCGCTCCAGATTTTACCTAAGTTTCCTCCCCATGGGATGGAAGATGGCAGTTCGGTGATGGTTTTGAAGAGGGAGAGGCTTTGTCTGGGTGCTCGGCACTCTGTCCTCAGCCCCGACCCTCCTGCATCTGCTCACTGCTCTCTGGAAGTGTGGCCACCCTGGACTGGAGCCTTCCCACATTTCCATTCACATCTCTCTCTCTCAACAGGGGGACTGGGCAACTGTGGTGCTGAAGGTTCACGTTTCTAAGCCACCGGAGGCCGTGGTGCCCTCCCTGGCTGTCTTCTCCACCAGGATGGGAGGTCAAATCATTCTTGTAAAAGGACCGTCTCCCAGACCCTCCTCCCCAGCTCCACTAAGGCCCACAGGCCCCTTCCCTCCTGAGCCAGTGCCCAGCAGTCTTGCAGAGAAAGAGCCACTTGTGTGCCCTGTGGGCACTCCTGCCTGGGGTGGACTGCTGGCGTGGCTGCAGGGTGACCTCCCCTGCCCTGGGCTCGGCTGCCTGAGCTGGCCAGGCCAGACCGGCTCTCAGGGGCTCACACCAAGGGAGGTCACCGCCACCTCCTCTTCTGCTCAGGGTCCAGCGTTTTCTTGGAAGCATTTGCTGGTGATTTTTCAAAAACCTTATTCTACTGCCTTTCCAAAAAACAGTCTATAAAACAATCCAGTGGCCAAGGGAAATGCGCCCTGGCCGGGGACTGCTTGGACGTGGTCAGCTGGGGCAGGGGCTGCTTTTCTTTGTGCCTGGCACTTTCATAAACTCGGCAACAACTTGGTTTTCTTTTTTTCACTTTTAGGGACATTTTTCTCTCCAAATAATGGGTCACTTAGTAGTCCCCAGATCCTGGAAGTTTTCAGTCCAGCCCCCCTCCCCCTGTTCTGCCCCCAGTAGATTCCACAGGCTACAGCTGCTCCCCTTTAAATGGGTTTGAATGGGTGCCTGTCACACAAGTTGCGGCATCTTTAGTGTGGTGGGGTGGGAGGCGACGAGGCCGAGAGCCGGCCCGTGATGTCAGAGCAGACTGCTGTTTGCTTGTGGCAGAGGGGACAGGCATATGGAGCTCGTGCCCCAGAGGAGCATGGGAAACCCCGCTCCTGCATCAGCGGCCCCGACCTTGCATCTCACAGGCATTGCACACAGGAAGCCCCTTGGCAAACGATCAAAGAGCACAGTCCCAGCTGGCAGACGTCTTGGGCTGGACACCTCCAGAAGCAGAGCCGCAGACCGTGAGTGGGGTGAAAGTTGTTTGGGAAAAGACCCCGGAAGAGGCGGGGCGGTGAGACAATGAGTGTGTTATGCTAAAACCCTCCTTTATTCTGTGGTACGGGGGATTGAACACAGGGCCTTTGCACTGAGCTACCTCCCCAGCCTTTTCTACATTTTATTTTCGTAAGGTCAGACTGAGGCATGACTGAGACCACCCAAGGCAGGCAAAGTTCAAGTGATGGGCGATCAGTTCATCACCATCTGGGTGCAGATGGGCCAAGGTCAAGAAGGTCTTTGGCTTGGAGAGGAGGGCACGCAGTTGATACGGGGGATTAGGTAGGGAGGGGGCACTGGTTGAAAGGATGGAAAATTTTACAGTCCCACGGGTGATGGGCCTGGGCCGGCTGACTAACAGGGCGGTGGTGAGAGCAGCAGGGCAGCTGCCCGCTGTCCCTTATCTCTGTGCTCCTGCGGGTGTGGGTAGCAGGTCCGCTTGGGGGCGGGTTTCCTTCCAAGTAACATGGGGCTTGGAGCCGGAAGCAATTCCGAGATGTGTGGAGAGGGAAGGTGGGAAGGCCTCTCAGAGACGGCAATGCGGGATGAAAGAAAAGAAAGGTCCTGTGGCCAAAGGGAACAGCAGCACAGGAGAGGTACGGTTTTTCAGATCTCCTAGGCGGAGTCACTTCTGTCTCTGAGATGGGCACAATGACGACTTCCCTCCTAGGTTTGTGAGGGATGAGAGGACCCAGGAGAGGAGCCCCCCAAATGATGAGGGCTCAGGTGAATCTGAGTCTGCCTCACTGGTCGTGGTGCACTTGTCTCCCCGCTGCCAGTCATCTGTCCGTGGAGCAGGGACTCCCCAGGCAGAGATATGAATTGGGACCTATGTTGACTTCTGTTTAAAACAAAAAAAAAAGCTGGGCGTGGTGGCGCACGCCTATGATCCCAGCACTCGGGAGGATGAGGCAGGAGGATCGCTGTGAGTTTGAGACCAGCCTGGGCTACACAGTGAGATCCAGGTCAATCTCAACTACATAGTGAGACCCTGTCTCAAAAAAACAAAACAAAACAAAGCAAAACCAAACAAAATCCCTTTAAACTGGGTGGCTTGGAAACAACAAAAATGTTTTTCTCCTCATTTTGCATGCTGGAAATCCAAGATGAAGGTGCCTGCAGACTCAGCGTCTGGCAAGGGCACCTCCTGGTGCACGGACGGAGTCTTAGGATCCATCTTCATGGGGCTGGAGGGTGAGGCGTCTCTTTGCCATCTCTGAGAACACCCCCAGGCCCTGGTCACCTTTCGGAGACCTCCCCTCGGGGGTAGGGTTGCAGTGTATGAGGACAGTGTACAGAGGACACAACCTTCAGGCCACCGCAGGGCCCGCCCTCAGGACACTTGTCACCCTTCCAGCCTCAGTTCTCAACAGCTCATCTCTGTGGGCCCAGATCTGATCCCACTAAAGAAACAGCCCGCTTCATACTAGAGCGTGAGTGGCTAGATCACACTGAAGGTCTTTCTTCTGACTTTAAATGAAATGTTGTACCTTCGTGCTAAGAGATTATTCTCGCAGCTCGGTGCTGACGCTCCTTGTGATGCCAAGAGGTCTCTCTTAGGGTCCCCTGAGCCTCTTTGGGTGGGTGGCCTAAGCATCAGGAAGTGGGGCTCTCATCACAGCTGTCAGTCAACATTCTATGATTTAAAAAAGAAAAAAAGAATTTGTAGTACTGGTGATTGAACTCCAGGCCTTTTCACTGAGCGACACTCCTAGTCCTCTATTTATTTATTTTAAAATTTTGAGACAGGGTCTCACTAAGTTGCCCAGGATGGGTTTGCACTTGCAACCCTCCTGCCTCAGCCTCAGCCTCAGCTGGCATTGAAGGTGTGAGCTGCCACACCCAGCTGTTCTATGATTTAAAAATGGCCTTGCTTCTCTTGAGCCTCTCTTAATCCCACACCCTTGTTTTATAGATGAGAACATCGAGTTTACGTCAAATTGTGCAGAGCTCACCCTGGAGGCGCCGCGGGGCCTAAGAAAAATATAAGGTCAGAAAAAGATTTTGTTTCCCTTCAGCCTATGTCCTCTAGTGCTCATTTTCAGTTTCACAGTATTTTAGAGACTGGGTTGCTTAGCCACTACCGGTCCAATTATTTAAATAAGGATGACCAAAAATCACATATTTAAAGAAATTTTATAGATAATATAATAGGATGTACAAAAATGACTTTATCAAATATATTCAATACAGAATCGACTGGTTGAATGACACCTGCCTGAGTGGTGCTTGGGTAAACGGTTAACTGGCTAAGTAACCTAAATGTATTTTCGGTCTACTCTGAGACCCAAAGTTTGAGGTATCGGTGTTCCAGGCGGTCCCTGCTCAGAGTCCTCTTTCCTGGCATGCAGAAAGTACCTTCAAGTTCACACGACATTCGTCCTATCCCATAGCTGTGTTCTAATCACTTCTTTTTTTTTTTTCTTCCCACAACACTAAAATAAAATGAAACTTTATGATGAGAAATAAACACAGCTGGCTACTCCAAGACAGTTCCCTGGAAAGGACAGCAAAGTTCAAGCCGCTCTTCTTAGCAGGAAGCCGTCCTATTGGACCAGGGCCCCATCCGAAGACCCTACTTAACCTCATTACCCCTTACAGACTCTGCTCTAAAATCTTGTCACATTCTGAGGTTCTGGGGTCAGAACTTCAGAACAGGAATTTGGAGGGGACCCGGACTACTGCAGAGCATGTGTCTTTGACATAAAGATAAATGTTTGGCTAAAAAAAAAAAAAAGAACTTAGTCAATTTAAAGGAAGCAAATCTTAAGTAAATGATAATATGTTGTTATAGCAAAAGTACAAAAGAAGTAGAAAAAGGGCAATTTGTTTTATCTATCTGTTGCTGTGTAAAGAACTACCCCTAAATTTGATGGTTTTCTAGGATAAGAATTCAAGAAGGGTGATCTTCTCTTGATCTACTTGGGGTCCACTAGGGCAGTAGGACTTCTTCCCAGATGGCTTCTTGGAGTGTTTATCCAGGGCTTCCCTCACCCTCCACCGGGTGCTGCCTTCTCCAAAGCCTCCTCGTGACGCTTGGGCTTCCTCACACCATGGTCACCCAGGCTTCATATACGATGGGTGACTTGTAGCAAGTTTGGAGAGACCTGGATGGAAAGGCCCAAGGCCTTTTATGACCGAGCCTTTCCTGTCCCCGCTTGTCACTTCTGCCATAGTCTACTTACTGGTCATGTTAATCACGGAGGTCAGTCCAGATTGTAGGGGAAGGGAACCTTTACACCGCCGCACTTGTTAGTGCTTGCGGAGTCCCTTGGTGGGTAGGTGGCTTCATCCTACTTCCCTGGGCTCGGTGAGTCTTGCTGCCTTGTAAATTCCAGCTACCCACTGACACCTTAGGCGTGGTCCAATATTTATGTAGAAAACTCCTAGAGGGTGGCATCTGAGGCCTGGCCAGGCTCTGAAGAGTGTAGTTGGGCCACCCCCTCCATTGATGGCCACTCCTTAGCTTTTGGTGAGCAGAGTGAGGAGCTGGCCTCCTCTTCTACTAAAAGCCCCTTCCTTTTCCTCTTGGCCTCACTGTGACTCCTGAATGATTCTCAGAAGTAAAAGTTTTCCCCTCCTTGCTCTCCTCTTGCGCAGCCAGGAGTGTAAATTTAGATTTCTGGTTACTCGGGCAGAAAAGAACTCCTAGAACTGGGGCAGCAGAAACCCTTAGCCTCCAACAAAGAACCATGTGAGGAGGACTCAGAAGCTGGAGTGGGGCCAGGGGCTCGAGACCCTGGGACGCTCCCCCCAGTGTCCCCCAGGGCAGCGCACCCCTGTGCCTGCCACCCCTCCCTAGGAAAGGGTGGCATAGGGAAAGAACGTGGGGGTTAGGGAAGCCCTGGCTCTGGCCACGGGTGCTGTTCCCGGGGTAATGGTGATGGCAGGAACCATGTACATCTGGCAGGTGCTTATTACAGTCACGTGTGCGAGGTGCTTGACACTCGGGGATCCACAGCACACGACGACGGTCGGGCTCTTAGCTTCTTCAAGTGAGAGAATCCTGCCTGTATTTCCTGGGGTGTCCAGGCCAGCGAGCTGGAACTCCACGGGGAGCTTGTGCACCTGCTGACTTGGGACCGGGGTGAGCTGGGGGCTGCCATGGTCCGCACCCCATCCTTTCTAAGTGTCTCGAATCTGGGACAGCTGTGTGCAGAGAGACTGGGGAGGAGGCAGGACCAGACTTCCCTACAGGTCTGAAACAACACTGGCCCCCGTCCTAGTGCTTCCTTCTTCAGCTCTGGCCTGGTCCTGGGTTAGGGGGTAGCCTGGTGGCACCCTGGGGGCAGAGGCTTAGAAGCCCTCTTGGTAGTTGTGTGACCTCGGGTGCATTTCTTTCCGGCCTTCTCTCACCTCAGTTTCTTCTTAGCTAAGAAGGAGTAAAAGGGGTTGCTCAGGGCCTGAGGGTTATAGAAGCAGGTTTCTAACCCAAATGTCCAGCAGCTACCTCCAGCCCACAGGTGTTCTGTGCAATACTGACTGAGGAGTTTGAAATGCTCGTGCAGAGAGAGATGGAAGGCCAGAGCAGCCAAGAGCTGATCTAGTCCTTTGGGGAAGGACTGGTTCTTTAGGTGGATGCCAGAGTCCTGTTGGCTGGAGCCATGGGCTGGCCTTGGTCTGGGGTGGGGCGGGATGGGGTAGGCCTGAGGAAGGGCTGGGTTTCTTTCACTCCCCCAGAGCACCTGGGAAGCGTCAGGTAGAAGGACACGTCACCATCCCATGTGGGGGCGTTTTAGTTTTAGCCCCGGACATGAGTTTTCCTGCGTGCTTTCAATTTCCCTTTCCTCCAAATTTCATCTGCCCACCTTCTCCGTGTGCCAAGTTCCTCCCGTGCCCAAGGACAGTTAGAGGAAGGACAGGCCCAGGGTTTAATGACACGTAGGGTAACCATCGCTGTTTCCTTCTACCTCATCATAGGTGGGATTCAAGAAGAAAGTTACCAGGCCTCCTCAGAGGAAGCAGTGCAAAGCCTGCCTTGTGCGTGGGGTGAGATACCCGTCAGTTCAGCGGTCACCGATCCAGACTGGAAGCGGACTCAGGCCTGGAGAGGCCCAGGCCCTTCCAGTACCAGTGGGGGCAGCTAGGACCCCACTCTCAGGGATTTTAGCTGTAGCTCTGAGAGCCAGAAGCCGGGACTTGCTCAGCTGCCAGAGGGATGGAAGCCATTCTGCCTTCCTCAGGAGAGGGGCCCAAATGAGCCCCTCCTCGGACTCGACTGGCAGAGCTCCAGGGTCTCCCCTGGACGCCCCAAAGCATGAGCAGTACGGTTAGTGATGGGACAAAACTGAGTCATTTAGGTGGAAAAACTGGACCTCGAGGGGGGACTTTCTTCAATAAAAGCATAATTAACATAATTTAAAAATCCTTTTTTAATAGGACAATTTATTTCATAGGACGGCAATTTTTTTCTCCAAAGGAAAAATTAAACACTTAGGTTTGCCATACTTGGAAAACAGAAATAAGAACAAAGAAGATCAAACATGTCTCTAGTTGATCCTACTACGAAAGCGTAACCATGGGACACACCTTCAACACATGAATTGAAGGGTGTAAGATGTAGATTGTGTTTGAGATGATGGCTCATGTCGTCCGAATTGTTTCCAGCCTGCTTTTCCAGAAGACTTTTGAACAGATTTTTTCCAAACCACTGAACCTGCTGTAACATTGCTTTAATTGGCCTCTTGTGTTTCACCACATAAATGAATCAATATAAGCTATCTTTTTTTTTTGGATATTTGTGTTATTTTTCATTATTTATTTATTGATTGGTGGTACTAGGAATTGAATCCAGGCCCTCCACACTGAGCTACCTCCCTAAACCCTAGTATTTTTTTTTTTTTTTTTAAATTTAGAGAAGGCTTCTCGTGGAGTCTCCCAGGTTAGGTTCAAACGTGCAATCCTCCTACCTCAGACTCTTAGAATACTGGGATTACAGGCATGCACCACCACACCCAGCGCCATGTTTACTTTCTTAGCCAATGCTGAAACAAACTACGTCTGTTTCTCTCTCAGCAGGTTTCCTCTTTTCTCCGCAGGAGTGAGCCCTCCCTGCCTCTCTCCTGAATTGTTTGGAAGCGAGATGACATTTGGTCGCACGGGGGCGCTCGTGTTCTTCAAGCAGCAGCAACTGGCCTGGCGCAGGAAGAGCTCTGGCTTGGGTTTGCTCCAAGGTCCAGGAGACCTTGCAGGAGGGATTTGAACCACTCAGCTGCTTACCCACATCAGATGAGCGCCATAGCAACCTTGCCAGTGCAGCGCTTCGCATTACACAGCAAAACGGTGCAACCAGCCCGGAGCATCAGGGGAGTAGTACTCAGCCCTAAAAGAAGGGAAGGAAATCAGGGTTTGCAGGAAAACGAGTGAAACTGGAGCTCATCATTTTAAGTGATAGAAGCCAGACACAGAAAGGCAAGCATCCCATGTTTTCTTGCGTGTGTGGAATTCAGGGGGGAAAAAAAAACAACATGAAAGAAGAAGAGAGATGATTAGAGACGAGGGAGAGGATTGGAAGATGGGGCCAGGGGAAGAGGAGGGGGTAAGATCAAAGTACACACGTGCGTGCGTGGAAATGAGCAGCAGAGTTACTGCTGCGTAACCAACGTGCATCAAAGAAACAAAAAAGACCCAGAAGAACGGGGTGTGCACAGTGCTGGGCACAAGGACAGAATTTGAAACAGCACCAGCCCCCCCCACCAGGTCACCCGGAAGATGAAACAGTCTAGCAAGGCAGGGCTTGTAAAGTAACCCCCATTCCTAAATAGCATGTTTCCGTTATTGTGCCGACTTCTGCAGCCCAGAACCCCCTAGGCAGTCCTGTCCCACTGTGCCTTTGGCCTTTAGCGGAGAAATTGGCCACAGGTGCACCTGCTTTTGCAGGGAGGTTTCCCATCCAACACCAACTCTGCAGGGGCTGCACTGGGTGACACTTTCCCTGCCTCAGCCGTCAGTCATGGTGGCCTCTGGGCGCTGGGTTTAATTGTTGTTTGTGAGCTGATTAAGCCAGGCCCAGTCTGCATCCGTCACCAGGCTCTTATCTCCCATTCCGAAGACATATGACTGACAAGAGTAAGGCGCTCAGTGAACACTGGCTCTGCTCTAATGTGTGTGTGTTTATCGATCTCCATATGTAGAGCGGCATGAGAACACTTACAGCAAACCGAATGTGAAGCCATAACTAAGAACGCTTAGAAAAGAGGCCGCGAGAACGCATGGGTGCGTTATGCACCGCGAAGCCTCTCACCAGCCCTGGGAGGAAAGGGCTGTTCTCAGCCTGCCTACTTCGCAGATGAAGCTGAGGCCAGAGATGCCAGAGGACATTTCAGCACCCGTTACCTTTACCGGGTCGCAGCCTCAGAGCAGAGCTGACAGTCAAGCTTTTAAAGGGCTATCACAGCACCTGGTACACAGTGTACACCGAGTTCCCAGTGGCCGTTATCACGGGAGGCTCGTAAGAGGCCCGAAACAGGCAGCCTGGGGAAAACCCCCCACTCCTCCCTGATCTCCTCCGCATGGCGGCTGGAGCTGGGTTATCTCATGGAGGCCTTTTGACCTCTCAGAGAGTGGGGGTCAGGGCTGGGGCAGCAGGGGCCGCATCTGTCACATGAGAGAGCCCGGGAGGACTGGCCAGCAGCTGGGGATGAGGCCCAGGGCAGGGGGAAGTGGGGTGTGAGAGGGGCGGCCTCAGCCCTGGCCACCCCTTCTCCAGGTCCCGGCTTTATTTGGCTGGTCCTTAAGGTTTTTGGTTTAATGCTTAATTTTGTAAGTTTGAGTATAGGCCCGTCTTTCAAGAAAACTGATATTCAGGGAGAGTGGTCAGCACTGATGTGTGACTACACACACACACACACACACACACACACAAGCTTTACTTCTGTTTGCAAAAACTGGCTTGCACGATGGTGTGAACTCTGCCGTGCACATTTTTTATTACTGGGTCTTGGACGTGGCTGCCAGTCGCAATCCCGGGCCCACCTGCCTCCTTTTATATCCATGCTATATTCTGCACTTTGGATGTGTCAATTCCCGCCACTTACCGACTGAGGGACCCGCAGGTCATGTGCAGGGTTTTGATGCTGTAAAATGTGCCACCCTTGATAGCCTTTGTCCTTGTTCTTTGTGTTTGTACTGCTGCCTCCGTGTCACTAGGACGGAATTCCAGAAGTGGGTCCAAGGCTGTGCGGCTTGGACAGTTCTTGGTCAGTTCTATTGTGTTGCTTTCCAAAACAGCACTAGCAATTTGTGCTCCTGCCGTCTGTCCACTGAGTGCCCATCTCCACGTGGTCTGGTGTTTTCTGCACGTGAAGATCCGGACCCAAGGAACCTGGCAGATGATTACCGCTAAGGGCCATTTGTACACTGAAGGCTTCTGGGTAACAAGCTACCGGAAGAAAATGACACTGTGGCTTTCCACAGAAGGCTCATTTCACAAAGCAGGGCACGGAGGCCCTTTAAGAAGGGAGCCTGGCCCTGGGTTGCACCGTGTAGTCAGGAGAAGGGGGGATGTCAGGTGTTGAGGTGCAGGTGTAGGGCTCCTGGTGGTCCCAGGACAGGGTGAGGTGCCCAGGTTGAGAGGGATCGCTGCACAGGGCAGCTCTGCATGCAGACCCTGGGGCCATTGTGTCCCCATCCCCTGGCATCTGTAGCCTTGGGGTCCCTCTGGCCGGAAGCCACGGCTCTTGGGGAGGTTGCCCGTGGGATATTGGATTTGCTCTGCCTCATTTGTAGAAAGAGAGCGCGGTACCAGGGTCCTTGTTCTGGGGTGACCCACAGGTGACGACTGAGGGGGTGGGGACTGCAGAAGTCCTGGCCTGGTGTCCAGGCGGCCCAGGGGACCGACTCACACCGCAGAGGCCCCATGGAGCAGGGGCCCCACGCGGTGTCCGTCTTCTCCCCTTTCCCAGCCCACGAAGGAGGCCCGTCCACACAGATCCTTCTTCCAGTAGACTCCACGGTCCGCGGAGGAGGGCAGTTCTCCCGGTGGAAGGGAACCGCCTTTCACAGCCACCCTGCAGCGGAGTCCTTGCGCGCTACTCATGGTAGAGAAGGCAGCAGCTTCCTGAGCAGTTTCACCGCGTGGGTCAGCAGCTTCTAGCCTGGTGCTGCCGCCTCCTGTTGTTCAACACTCGGGAAAGGAGCCCGAAAACAGCTTCTCCACCTCTGACCGGCTGTACACACCTTCCCTCTCCTCCACCCTCTGTGCCTTTGTCTGCAAAGCCAACTAGCAGCAGTAGCGGCAGGGCTCGCTCCTCCGGCCATGAGGAGGCGGCAGGAAGTCACCCACCCCGACCTGAGGCTGTGTAAGCCACTCGGGCTCCCCTCTGCGAGCGGGGACAGTGACTTCTCTGGGCCGTGGGGAGGGAGGACGATGCGGAAGGAGGAGCAGGCGCACAGCCGGGCTTGGAGAAGGTGCCCCGGGGTCGTGGTCACAACGAAGATGGCAACCTCGCCAGGGGGACCAGCTGGAGACACAGCGACGCGGCCTGGAGAGGAGGACAGGGGCGTCCGAATGGCCTCCGAGAGACGGTGCTCATGGACGCATCTCACTCGCAGTTATTTGTGCATCGAGCAAGCGGCCGCAACGCTAAGTGAAAGAAAGCGGACACACAGCAGGCGAGAGGGTGCCCGCCGCCTCTTGTACGAGGAACTGAAAATATAAATAATTGATAAGGGCAAAATTAAGGAGAAGGGGTCTGGGAAAGCGGGGCAGAGGGGAAAGACAGTAAAAATCGTCAGGACGAGCTGTGTCGATGTACCAATTCCCCAACATGAATGGAGTCCTTGTTTATCGCAAACGCACCCTAGTAAGACATATTAAACATAAATACAAGTACATATCACAGCATAAATCAACATCGGATTGTCTCACCTAGGTTTTTGAAAGAGAGGGTCATTTTCTGCACCCTGCCTTAAAGGCACTGGTGGTTATTATAGAAGGCAGCTGAGAGGGGGCAGGACGCTCCAGCCTCGGTCAGCGGCTTTCGCTGCACAGCAGCTCTCGGTGTCACGCACTCAGCCACTCCGGCTCAGCCCCTCCAGCCCGCTGCTGGAATCCTGCTCAGGAGCACGTTCCCTTCTGCTTGTCTGGCTCCTGTGTGGTGGGGCTTCTGTGGTTGTTGCCTGTGTCTCTGGGCTTGGTTTCTGGAGCTGCATTCAGTGGCAAAGCCACTGCCTATGACCCGCGCCCCTCTTCCCTTGTGTTTGAAGCCGTCTTGGGATCACTCACTCATGCCACCCAGCCCGGTGTCAGTTTGAGGTGAGCTGCTGTCACCCTGCGCTGTTAACCATGATGGAGGAAAGTGCTGTGTGTGCGTGCTCAGGACAGAGTCAGTTATTTTTCTGCAATAACTTTGTCTTTCTTTTTTTTGGATTTTTTGAGACAGGGCCTCACTATGTAGTTGAGACTGACCTGAAACTCACTATGTAGTCCAGGCTGGTCTCACATTTATAGCGATCCTCCTGCCTCAGCCTTCCGAGCGCTGGGATTACAGGCGCGTGCCACCACGCCCGGCTTTTCTGCAATAACTTTGATCTGAGGTTGGCTGCATCCATAAAGGTGGAGCTGGAGGGCTGCACTGGGCTGACTGCTCTGGGGACAGCTGCTGACTCCTCAAAAGGACCCCAGAGAAAGCCTGTTAGTCAGGAAAGCCGAGTTGTTAGACTCAGGCAACCCAGAGCAGCCTCCCCGCCAGCTGGAAGTAGGGCAGGCTGATGCTAGGGCTTACGGTTTGTGTTTGGTCCTTTTTTTTTAGGGTGGATGTGGGGAGGCGGGGCCAAACTACCACCGGGCGGAGTCTGTGACAAAACAGTCTGGATGGTGGCGGGGGATCGTGCAGAACAAGTCATTAGTGGAGTCTCGGTGACCAAGTACTCGAGATGTCCCCAGAAATAAGCAGCAGCATCATTCTTGCCTGACTGAAGTAATTTTTTTTTTTTTTTCCAGTACTGGGGCTTGAACTTGGGTCCTTGTGCTTTCGAGGCAGGAGCGGTGCCACTGAGGTAAATCCCTGGCCCTTGGATGTAGTATCTCATTGAAGGACAGAGAATTACATTGGTTTCAATTTTCAAGACCTAAAGGTTAAATTTTGTGGTTTAAAAAATCTTTATTAAATTTATTGTGTAGCCCACGGTGGGCTCCAACTCATGATCCTCCTGCCTCAGCCTCCCGAATGCTGGGATTACAGGTGTGTGCCACCACACTTGTCTAACAGTTGAATTTTGACATCCAAAGTTATGACTGTTTAGACTTGCCAGCATATAGCAATAAAGAACAGACTAAAATCTATTAAAAGTTAAACTTTTTTTCTTTCTTTTCTTGTGGTACTGGGGATTGAACCCAGTGCCTCACACAGGCTAGGCAAGTGCTCTCTATCACTGAGAGACAGCCCTAGTCTTTTTAAAAAAATTTTATTTTGAGATGGATGTCTTGCTATTTGCACAAGCTGGCCTCAAACTAGAGATCTTCCTGCCTCAGCCTCACAATTAGCTTGTGTGTGCCACCACATAACAGCTAAATTCTTTACAGGTAATGCACTCTTATTGCTTGCACCTGGGTGGACTATTCCCACGGTGGGAGATTCAACAGAAAACCCAGGGCCAGCATGCAGTCTCCTCTTACTAAGTACTCCCTTTGCTAAGTGCTCCCTAACACCCACTCCTTCATTCTGCCGAAGAGTTGGGTGCCTGTAGCATCCAGGCCTCAGGTGGTGCCCAGTGGTCCCTGCCTCCTGGTGCTCATGCCCTGCTGGATCTTCCTCATCCCAGCCCCGAGTGTGGGCGGGACCTATGATTTTGCTTCCAGCCAACAGCACATGACAAAGGGCCATCACTCATGGTGGTGATACCAGTGACTGCATTGTCTGCCTGCCAGCAGAGTATGCCCTGGCTGGCTTTGCTGAAGCTGCCTTGCCGTGTTGAAGCCATGCAGGTGGCAAACACCTCAGGGCAGGCTGCGGCCAACAGCGGGCAAAGAACTGAGGTTGTCTGAGACTGGATCCTGCCAGTCCCCGGGGGTCGGGAGCATATCTCTCTGTACTGAGCCTTAGCAGAGAGCCCAGGTCTGGTGAGGCTGTGAATGCAGCCTCCTGAGCCCCTGCTCCAGAGGATTTGGTGAAGCACTGTGCAGATCCAACTTCCAGAAACAGAGCGTACTGTGTGCTGTGCTGAGCTGAGTTGGTGGCAATCTGTTAAGCAGGATTAGATGAATATACAGCAAAATGATCACTTCTGTTCTGCAGGTGAGGAAAATGTGGTCCAGAGAGGTCAATTAATCTGCCTAAGGGGCACAGCCAGGAAGTGGGCAGAGTGAGGCTCTGCCACCCACCACTGACCATCAGGCCCCAAGCACACTGCCCCTTCCATGTGCAGATGTCCACCTGGCAGATGCCCTCTTGGGTCCCTGTGCCTGGGGAACTACTGGCCTCCTGCTCTCCCCAGTGGACCCCCCCCCCAGGGTTTGTAAACAGCATCCAGCTGTCAGCACTGGCATTTCTCAAAGGAAGTACCCACTCCTGGGCCCCACTGCCCTTCCAAAGTGGACACTGCTTGGGAAAAGTGTGAATGTACAAGCTTGTCTGGCCTAGCCTGGAGGAGAGGCCTGTCACAGAGTCATGACAATGGG